TCCTCAGACCCACGCACCACCGAAACCGCCAATGAACCCCAGTGGCCAACAGCCAAACCCCCACCTGAAGCTCGGTCGGAGAAAACAGAACCGACCAGAGGGAACATCAATCTCAGGCGAATACAGAGAGATAAAGGGCTTACCACTGCCAATCGAAGGTCCGCCGGCGACTGGAAGGTCATCGCGCACCGGAATCCAACCAAAAGTGACGAAACCTTGGAACTCTGATTCGTCGTCGTTCGAGGGCCACACCACTCAGCGCTGCATGGCATCTAGAACGGGAAGAGCGGTTAGTGGCGACCGCTAGCCAGGCCTACTGTCACCGGGGAAGGCAAAACGCCGACAATTAAGAGCATCTCCAATGCTATGAGTTTGAAAGACCATTATTTTTAACACATGTCAATTAATGATTGTAATGTTAATCCACATTAGAATAATGTTAAAAGACTAGAAATTTGAATAAAGCTAGTATCTCCAATGGATCAATTTGATAAGAAGTTATTTATATAGGTGGACCAATTCATTGATACAAGAAAAATAAAAAATTAAAACAAATATAAAGTAAATTAATGAGTCATCATGTTTAACATGGTGTTAGATATTAGAAAAGTGTGGTCAACATTGTCAACATTAAATGACATTCACCTCATCATAAAAGAGTTAATGACAAGATGCATTGGAGAAAAAAATAGTAACACACTTTCAAAAGTTGATGATATGGATGACTTTTTATAATGTCAAAAGTCAAAGGGGCTGCGAGTTAGGGTTTTTCAAATCGCAGAGAGAAGAGAGAGAAAATTTTATGGATTATTTTTGGATTAACTTAAATCGAGTTTAACTCAAGTAAATTATCAAAATAACATATCAGATTCTTAATTGATTTTTTTTTTTTTTCATCTCACCTGTCCTTCTATATTTCTAAAATATTATCTTTCTCCCAAAATTTGATTACTAAAAAATCATCGTGTACAGAAATAGAAATTATTTTCCTATTTTTATTGTGTAATGATAGTTCTTGTTTTCACATAATAAAATGTTTGCCAATTAAATAAAAAACTGATTAATTAGTCGGTAAATTGATTTATTCTAGCGAGGTAACAGAGAATTCAATCATGAAGCATTTGGAATAGGAAAAAATATTGTGATTGCTCAGTTAAAGATATCAGAATCTTTTGTTCATCAAACAAATCAAGCTAAACTTTTTTATCCGGTAAACTGTTTTCTGAAGCTAAGGGAACTTATTTTAAAATTAATTTTTTTAGAAAGAAACAAAATATGGTGGACACACAACTGTAGGATTAACATTATTGAGAATGATTAGGCAAAAAACAAAAAAAAAAAACAAAATTAGTAATTAAATATTTTCTTGGGGGAAAACCATTTTTAGTAAATTGATTTTTAGTAATCAAATATTTTCTTGGCGGAAAACCATACAATTTATTCTAGTTTGCTTTATTTGCTTGGCGGAAAACCATACAATTTATTCTAGTTTGCTTTATTCTAGTTTGTGAATTTATTTATTATAAAGAATAATGATTTGTTTTGTTTAACTAGTAGAATATTGATTAAAATATTTACTCGAAACTTAAAATCATAAAAATAGCATCATGACAGGATAAAAATAGCATCGTAGTGAGACAAAAATAGCAATATAAAATGTGCTAATATGTGTAAAGAGTTTTGCTAATTTTATCTTAAATTGTTACTAAAAACTTATTTGAGTTCATTTTAGTTCATAATACTTTGCGAAATTTTATTTTTATTTAGAATAAATTTTAATGTTCGGTAGCACGCAATTTGGGATAAAAAAAAATACAAATATATTTTTTTTAGATGGTACTTTCTATCTTTTTGAAATGGACGAATTGTGTATGTCAACTTTTTAGTTTCTTATTTTATTTTTATTTTGACAAGTAATATGTATTATGTGATTTCCTTCAAAAAAAAAAAATTCCTAGTTGAGTTAAAACATTTGCGTGGAAAGAAAATTAACTAATTCTTACCATTTCAAAGGCATAATGGCGAAAAAATACACGACCTTTACTTGATTGGCCATTTAATCACGACTTTCAAACCTTGGCAAATAAATACATGACATTTACATTCTTGGCAACTTGATACACGGATTTAACGTCCGTCAACGGAAAGCTGACGTGGGTCTGACTAAGCAAACAGAAGTCAAGTCATCAGTTAAACCTTGGCAGTTTAATACACCACCTTTGGTTTTTTGGCAACCCGATACACGAACTTACCCTTTTTTGGCAAAAAGATGCCAAATCATCATTTTATTTTATTTTTTATTTAAATTCATTAAATTTACTTTTATTATTTTTATTTATTTTAATTCTACTTTTATTATTCAAATTATGTTTACAATTTAAATATATAGTGATTAAAAACAATAAATAAACAAATATATATAAGTTTATTTAAGTTTTAATTTATATATTTTATTTGATTCTAATTTTAATATTTAATGTATTCAGTATTTCATTAATAAATAATAAAATAAATTAATATTAATATAGTAAATAATGAATAATAAAAAAACATATAATATAGAATTCAATAAATCATAGAATTAAAATCTAATATACTTATTTATTTAGATAAATAATATTACATTATTTATATTAAATGTATTAATTTATTTATTTAGTTTATTCGTATATTTTTTTATTTAAGTATGTTAAATAATAATAAAAGTAAACTTCAGAAAATTAAATAAATAAATAATAATATTATATTTATATTATAAATATTTATTTAATGCTTAAATAAAATTTGTTTGAAACTTTGGCCGTTAAAAAAAATTGTCACGTCAGCTTTCCGTTGACGGATGTTAAATCCGTGTATCGAGTGGCCAAGAATGTAAAGGTCATGTATTTATTTGCCAGGGTCTAAAGGTCGTGATGAAATGGTCAATCAAGTAAAGGTCGTGTATTTTCCCGCCATTATGTATTTATTTAAAAGACACTTTATTTAATCCTTGTACTATCATATATTGAAGATGGAATAATTATATAAATACATAATTGTTTCAAACTCATATGGCGTTATATAACATTTTTGTTAATTATTGCATTTATTTTTTATGTTGAGTCTACAACTAAATACATAATACATAANATTTGACTTCTGTTTGCTGAGTCAGTCTCACGTCAGCTTTCCGTTGACGGACGTTAAATCCGTGTATCAAGTTGTCAAGAATGTAAAGGTCATGTATTTATTTGCCAAGGTTTGAAAGTCGTGATTAAATGGCCAATCAAGTAAAGGTCGTGTATTTTTCCGCCATTATGCCCCATTTCAAATTAAGTATGAACAATTCCCCCTAAAAATATGCACTAATGTAATTACTAAACTATAATGTTCACTAAAAAAAATAGACACTCTTAATTAAGTGTAGTGTTTTGAATAAGTAATACCAAAAATATTTGAAACAATGAGGACCATCAATATTAATATAATTAATGGCTAGGATTGATTCCTAGTTCTTACACTCACATAGAGTTCTCATTTGAACTCTTTCATATATATATATTGATACGGCATAGCGAGGTATAAAAGGGCGAAAGTATAAGAAGAAAGCTCAGCTCGCAGCTTGGTGCAGTACTCTATCAACTCGATAGTACCGGGTGATGGTGGGCCGAGCTAGGTTGTTGAGCTCGGCAGGCGTGAACGGATGTTTTAGACTCTGATAGCTACGGCGTGATGGTTATGTGGTGAGCCCGGCAGAGTGCATGATAAGGTTAAACTCGGATTGAGCTCGGCAGATATCGAAGAACTAAAATCAAGAAGATATGCAGTAGCTCGGACTAACAAGGTAGCTGAGGTCCTCTCATTGAGGGTAGCCGAGCTATTCGATGGGACGGTTGGCTATCGTGACGTGGCAATTTCGTGTGACCAGAGGAGTCTAATTTCTAGAGATCGAGAGAGTTGGCGACAATGGGGATTCTGAGATTCGGGATAAGATACGCATGGTGGAGAGTTATGGATGGGTAAAGGATTCTCGAGTACATCATAAGTCTTTTCAGACTCAAACACTCTGGTCTATAAAAGCAAGTCTTCTTACTTTCACACGACAACACACATACACGTGAAATACATTCTTGTCTTATTATACTGCCATTTTTCCCCTCTGATACCCTTGAGCGTCGGAGTGCCCGCGCCGGGACCACCCCAGGCGTGTTTTGCAGGTACCGGCGATCAAGAATACTTAACCCGGTTTGAGAGGAGCGCTCAGGCAGTTCGGGACAATTTGACGTATCAAATTGACGTCGTCTGTGGGGAAAGCTCAGTTTTCTACTTGCAACAAGAGGCTGATTTTTTCTCACTAGCATAGAAAGAAGAAAACAGAAGAACCATGATGGGAAATAACCCAAAAAAGAATTCGGGGAATGAGGTGGATGAGGCATGGACCAAAAGGGTGTTGGCTGCGGGGCCACCGCCAGGATGGTCTCAACTAACGCATATCGTGATTGTAAATATTCGAACAACACACCATACACACAACACTACTACCCAAAACCTAAAGACAATTGACTCAACAGTATAGATCTTGCTTTTGGTGAATCAAAGTAGCAGCTATTGTATGCACGTGCCTGTTTATATCTTACAGGTTAAAAGAATGCAGTAATTAACCGAGGCCTAGTTCATTTACGACGATCACTATAAAACGAACTACTTCTCTCTGGGATCCTGTTCAATACACAAGTGTACTAGTGCAACTAATCAGTCAAGACCAACTGTACCGTTGACTTTATAACCGTTCTGATGGTTTGTTCATTTTCATCTAGATTGTGAACCAATCATTCTTATTTTTCAAGTGACTGATAAAATGATCTTTTGTCTATTTGTGATGAACCATTTTATCTAAGTGTAAGACAACAAAACATAGAACTTGGTTAAAAAAACACGATTCGCATTCAGCAGAAATAGTGTGAATAACATCTAAAGCTAAGCTTTTAGTATATACACCAACACCTGCAATATGGGTCCTCTCATAAGGGAATATACCCGGTCTTCCTCGAGATAGGGTAAGATCGAGCAAAAATCTCCTTATCGCCCCATTTCTCCAAAACCTTAAACACCTCCTTATCGCTCCTCTAATATTACCTCTTTGTTCAGGGACCTCTTGTCACTAGAGCGAGGCATTTCCTCAACTCTCTTGACCTTGGTTTTCTCGGTCTCTAGGAAATAGGCCTCAACTTCTTACATATTGATGTAGTTGATGCACTTGGACAATAGCTCGTTGAACTACCACATCGGCCTTTGGCTAATGAATTCATGCATGGTCCTGTCCTAAGACCTCAGGTAAGACATCCTGCATTGATCTCCTCTGAGGCTGATAGGACTTCTACATACTCCTTGGTGTAGCAAGTGATGTAATCATTGAGGACTCTTCTTCCTTATGATGCATGCTAATTAAAGCCGGATAAAACCTTTCATGCTTTCTTGCACTTGAGAACAGATTCACAAACTGGGAGTTGAATCTATCAAAGTTATAGATTGAACAAACGGGCAACTGATGGAACCAATCCTGTGTCGACCCATTCAACATTGTAAGAAAATCTCAATAGCAAACGGCATCATTGTACTTATGAAGCACCACAATATTTTCAAGTGACATCAGATGTCTGGCTGGGTTTGTTAAACCATCATAAGACAAGTTTAGCTCGCAAAAATTATTAGGTAGGTTGGCCTCGAGGACTTTCTCGGCAAAGGGATGGCCATGCAACCACGGTGCCATTCTGCCCCCCACTCAGACATGCAAATCTCTCGCTTGAGTTGTCGATACATCCAACGTGGCATCTCGGGCTGGTCGCGACACAACTAATGATGATGAAACTGGCCTGACCTTTACTCCCATAATCCTCCTCTGAGGTTGCGGATGTGGCGTAACAGACTATGGCTATTTTGGCCCATGGGCTCAGGTCGATGTCTCGGCCACAATTCTGTCCAACTCTTCCCTAGTAAGCTGAATGACTTGTCCTCCTTGAAGGGCCCCATGTCCATCAGAGTTTGGTAGTACCCTTTGACCTGATATTGAGATCGACCAACCACTAGGTCGTCTTGTTGTTGGATGATGTTGTCTTGGATTGCTATCGTCCATTGCTCTCCTAGTGTTTGTGTACTTTTCTGGACAACTACCGGCTTCTTACCTGTGGGGGATTCACCCAATGTGCATACTACTGGGGTCACCGACGTGTGAGGCGCCGGTAGTGTCTCATGAGGTGTGACTAACGCGCATGTCGACTTCGACCAGCCAGCTAGAGGTCTTGTCCCCATTGTTCGAGATATCTAGGCTTCATCCATCTCTTTCAATGAATTCTTCTTAGAACCGTCTTCTGCCATAATCTTCGAACTGACAACCTTGTTGTGAGAAATCGATCAGCCACTTATAGCCGGTAAAAGACTGAGAATGTCCCACAAACGGCGCCAATTTGATGTATCAATTTGGTACGGACCAGAGTCAACCAATCGATCCTGAAACGTCCTCCTTCCTCGAGCTCTGATGACCTGCAATACGCTGAGAGGGAATCCCGTAGACACTCCTACATTCAAGTCAGAACTAGTTCAAGAATAATCTGATGTATTATAAACTTAATGAATATATATGCAATAATAATAATGTTGACATGCGAAATTTGATCAACACATGATGTTCCTTGAATTGTGATGAAGAATTGATAGTATGAAGAATTGAAGGAAAAATGTCTCTTTTTCTTTAGTCGGTTTTCTCTTCTCAGATGTGGGAAAGAAGAGAGCCCTTCAATAATTGAGGCTTCTTTGTATTTATAGCCACACAATATGGGCTTTTACCATTTCTTTTTATCATAATATCATAATGTAAGTGTAATAAATGAGATAAGACTGCGTAGGGCCTGATAATTATGATGCTTAACGGCTTCGATTGATATTTATCTTGTCGGCAATTATGGTGTCTAGCGGGGCGGCTTCTTTATGATATGCGGGTCGGGATGGTGACATTGAATTCTGCTCAGCTCGAATGTGGACGATCTTGATTTTGGGAACTCGGTTGTATCAAAGGATCAACTCGGAGAACCTGCTATTTTTAAATATATATTTTAATCCTCGTTTTATTTCTCCACGTGTGGCATCTCTATTAATCGTGGTCAAATTGAGTATCAACAAATAACATAGAACCTGCCTACCTTTATATAGAGTGGATGACTTGATGCTCAAGAGAATCCCTGTTGGGAATGAGATCTAACCATATCTTCTTTCCTAGCTTACTACATCTCTATCTGGGTATATCTTCTTAGCTAGCTATACTTTTCATCCTACCAAGATTCTTTTCCCCTTCACCACATAGCCCTGGGGTCCCTAGGTCATAACCACGACCTGCTTACCTCGCTTCTATAAGACCTAGTCGAGATCGATATTCGACCTCTCAACCTTGTGACCTCTAAGCTTCGAGGTCTCTTTTTGTATCTAAGCTCCTAGACGTCGTTACCTCCATGTCGTCTTAACAGGTCAACCAGTACGACCAATACCCTGAGCTGCCTCTGCGAGCTCCCCGACTGGATTATGTTATTCTTAGCGAGCTCGAGTTCCTCTGGACCGACCTATACCGAGCTAAGTACTTAGGGCGGTCGGGATGCTACATCAACGCACACCTAATATGAGCGCATAAAACGTGAAAAGAAAAATGTACTACACAACTAACACACTTTCTTAACTAACATATAAAATCCGTCGACTATAAAAATTGTGAGGGTCAAGTCCCTCACACAAAAAAAAAAAGCCTATTTTTTTCTTAAAAATATTTATCCTATCCTCCTTTTTCGTTATCCTTTGGCGGTTCCAAATTTCTGATTCTTTTTTACAAACTTAGTGGGGGTGTAAAAGACTTTATCTTATCGAACACATAGAATACACATCCAAATTTAGCAAGTACTTCATATTTTAATGATTCATAACCAATAACATTACTCATACTGAAACACATAGAACACACATCCAAATTAAGCAAGTACTTTATATTTTAATGATTCATAACCAATAACATTAATCATACTGAAAGTTAGAACATTGTCTTTTCAAAGATCCAAGAAATTAAAGTACTTGAAAAAAAATTTGTAATCTCCCTTGCACACTTTAGTAAGTAAAATATAAAAACCATGCAACATACACCAAATAGACAACCTCACATAAAAAATTGTGTTTATAGTTTTGAAATGAGGAGGATTGATAATGAAATTATGCAGTTTACCCTTCATTTTTATTAATAAATATTAGGTCAATCGAGGTTATTTTTTTTGAAAACGACTGATATTGTAACCCGAGAAATAATTACAGAGTTCGGGGCACAATGCCCTAATGCAACAGAGCATGAATGGGGAGACCACCACTCCTAAAAAATACAAACCTCAAGAACCAAGTTTAAAACCCCAGCTAGACTAAGCATAGAACCTGAGGCTCAAACTCGATTCAAACAAGCCCTGATATCTAAAGATAGACACCAGCACCACAGAAAAAATAACTAACCACTGCACCCATGGGGACCTAGTTAGTTATCAGAACACTACTAAAAGAAAAAAGGGCAAGAAAAGAAGACCAAAAGCTATACAAGTTCTAGAAATTAACAGCCGACAGTGATAGAAATTCCATCCATTCATTCACTGCTAACCTAATTGTATCCATTTCTGATCTGAGAGTGTTTTGGAAGATCCAGAGATTACGAGTCTTCCACATCCACCATAGGAGATATGAAGAGAGCTGTATTCTGTCCTCCATGATGGGTGTGAGTCTTAATGAGCAAAGGCAGTCCACCATGATTTGAAATTCTCTGTGTATGGCTGCAATCCTTCCCAAGACAATGGAGCCAATTTCCATATGAGTTTGGCCCTTGTACATTGAAAGAACAAATGCTCTTGTGTTCCACTCCTTCTCCACAGATCTTACAGGTTTGATCCACATGTAAACCTTTGTTTCTGAGATTTTGCAGGACTGGGAGTATGTCATTGCTAGCTTTCCAAAAGAAATATTTGATCTTGTTTTTTATTTTGAGCCTCCACATTCTCCTTCTTGTTCTTTGATCCTCCCTTTGATTAGCACTTGCCTCTGCTATGTCCATCCTTCTCTAGTGTTGTGCTATCAACTTAGAGTAAGTGGAAGATATTGAGAGCTGCCCATTTTTGCTCCAACCCCAGGTTAGTTTGTCTTTGTTGTGAGGGTCAAGACCTTGAAGTTGCAGGATAGCTTGAGCAATGTTTGGAGGAAAGAGTTATTCAATCAGCACTTTGTTCCATCTTATGCCTGAGGTATCAATGAGGTCATTAACAATTTTGATATTTGAATAAGTAGCCTCCTTTTTTATTGCCTTGATATGGGGATAGTTTGGTACCCATGGGTGCTCCCATATATTCACTGTTGAGCCATCTCTGATCTAAAATCTAAGGCCTTCTACAGACTTATCTTTAATCTTCTACCAGCTGGCCCAAAGCCAAGAGCTGTTGCTTTTTTTCTTAGTAGAGAACAAACATGTTTTAGGGTAGTACCTGCCTTTAAGAACTTTACTGACAAGAAGATCAGGTTGAGCTTGGATTCTCCACAACTGCTTTGCAAGAAGGGCTTTGTTAAAAGTGTGCAACTCATGAAATCCAAGTCCTTCCAGATCCATTGGTAGTGCCAGCTTTTTCCAAGCCTTCCAATGGACTCCTATTTAATTGGGATCCTTGTCACTCCACCAAAATTGAGCAAAAACCGGATTGTTCTTGTTAATAATAGATTGAGGCAGTAAGAAACAAGACATTGTGTATGTGGGCAATGCTTCTAAAACAACTTTCATTATAACCTCTTTTTCTGCACAAGAAAGGAACCTATTCTTCCCGTTTGATAATTTGTTAGTAACAACTTCCAATACAAAAGAGAATGTGACATTTTTGGATTTTCCTATACCTAGGGGAACGCATAGGTATTTGGAGGAGGTTTGGGGTGCAATGCCCAACAGGATTGAATAGATTTCTTGTTGAATAGCTGTGGGGGTATTTTTGCTAAATAATATTGTAGATTTGTGGAGGTTAACTCTTTGACCAATTATTTTTTGGTAGTTCTGCAGGATAAGGAGTAGGGTGGAAGCATTATTGGCATCAGTTTTGGTTAACAAAAGGGTGTCATCTGCAAAAAATAGATGAGATATTGTGGGACAGTGTTTTTTCATCTTAATGCCCTGTAGGTCTCCTCTGGCCCGTTCAGCCTGTCGCATCGATTTATCAATGAGTTCGTGAGGTTTGATTAGGTAAGTGATTAAGATATGAGAATGAAGATATAGAGTGACAATGGCCAGTTCAATCAAGGTTATTCCAATGTTCTGAAAACCGAACCGGTCATCGAACCGATGAAGCTACTGATTCAATGGTTCACTGGTCGAACCAGCGGTCGAACCGGTCAAACCGTTTTAATTAATGTATAATTTTTTATTTATTTTATATGTATAATATATAATTATATATATTTTTATCATTAGTTTTATAATGTAAAAAGACATTTCTCTATATATACAAATTAATTATATTTATTTTTTATCATTAGTTTAATATGTAAAATATATAATTGTATATATTTTTATCATTATCAAATTAAAACGTTAAGTATTATACTTATTATGTAAGGTTTGTATTTATTTTGTAAATTTGTAAATTTACAATAATAATAAAATAATATATCTAATTTTATTTTTTTTTAGTTGGGTTTTAGATTTTAGTTTTGAATTTTTAAAGAATTTGCATTTTAAACTTTGCATAAGGACATAAAATTAAAAATGGCCCAAGAATTTGTAATTTGCTCAAGTATATACCAAAAAGAAAAGACTCAAGGATTTAAAATTTAGTGGGCCTTTTGAATGGCCCACGCCACAAAGCAATCAGAAAAATAAGGAAACAACAAACAACTTGTCCCACATCGTTAATCTAATGAAAAAGTGAAGTGTATATAATAAAAGAGTGAACTGAACAGTTTGCATTACTAGCCGCTTGGCCGGCGGAACTGGCTACGTTTTTCCGATTTGATCGATTTTTGAACGGCCCAAGCAGTTTTGAAACGGTTTTGGTACCCAGCAGTTTAACTCTTCTGACCGGAAGCAGTTTTGAAACGGTTTTGGTACCCAGCAGTTTAACTCTTCTGACCGGATTTGACCAGATCGCTGACATGTCCGGCTCCCGATTGAACCGAGCGATCCGGTCCAGTTTTCAGAACATTGGGTTATTCACTTTTGATCCGTGATGATAGTGCCGAAATATTAAAAAATTGTGACCATTCTTTTCACGATTTCAATTAAAAAATAATCTATATTGCAAAGGGCCCAGAGGCTTGGACATGAGTGTCTTAAGTTTTATTTGTTATCCTCACGAGTGCCACTGCATTTGGGTTCCCCAATCTCCACCACCCAATCCTTCATCACATTAATCCTTTCATTCTTTTCCCTTCTTCTTCACCACTGTTTGCTTCGTTTTTGTTCTCTCATTCTTCATTCTTTTCTCTTGTTAGGTTACCAATCGCATAATTTCTCTCTCCAGAGTTTTTCGCAAAAATGGCTGCTGCTGTTAGCGCCGCTGTTTCCTTGCCTTCATCCAAGTCCACTTCCCTTCCTGCTGCCAGGACCTCCGTCATTTCTTCTGAGCGGATCAATTTCAGCAAGGTACCAAGTCACTGTGTTTAATTATTCTATTATTATTTCTATTTCACCATGTTGCGTGTGTTGGAGGGTCGTTTCACTCTATGTGGCACTTTGTATAGCACGATTCTCTTTCTCACACTGCATTACTTTTGCTTGCATGGCTGCTGCAACTGTTATTACATAATTGATTGAATTTTGGATGTTGAATTTTAGCTCTTCACTAAATTCCCGATTGTGAGTTTGATGTTTTTGATCGATATTAGCCATCTTAGACATCTTTCCCTAAATCTGACTAGACGTCTTGTTGACAGGTGCCTTCTTACAGTAGGAATGGGTCATGGACAGGTGGGACGAGGTTTATGGCAATCAGAGCCCAGGTGACCACAGAAGCACCTGCCAAAGTGGAGAAAGTATCCAAAAAGCAGGAAGAAGGTGTAGTTGTCAACAAGTTCAAGCCCAAGGATCCGTACACAGGCAAGTGCCTTCTTAACACCAAGATCACCGGTGACGATGCCCCTGGTGAAACCTGGCACATGGTCTTCAGCACCGAGGGTAATTCTGTCTTTGAATTCCGATTTATAACAGTTTTTATTGGATTTGAGGCAATTTTATGATTTACATTATTTAATTTTGAAGTAGTAGTTATTTGGCGTTGAGCAGGGGAGGTGCCCTATAGAGAAGGACAGTCGATAGGGGTGATTCCCGATGGCGTGGACAAGAATGGAAAGCCTCACAAGCTCAGGCTCTACTCGATTGCCAGCAGTGCTATTGGTGACTTTGGGGACTCCAAGACTGTAAGCTCTCTAATAAATGATCAAATATTTTACCATCCATCTCATAAATTGAGATGTCGAAGCTTTGATAAATTTCAGTGGTTCATGCTTGCAGTGTTGCATATTTCTCTGTAATTAATCGTTTAGCTATTTCTGTGCAGGTGTCTTTGTGTGTAAAAAGGCTTGTCTACACCAATGAACAAGGGGAGATAGTTAAAGGAGTTTGTTCAAACTTTTTGTGTGAGCACTCAATTTCTAGAATTAGTCGTTTAATGAGGTGAGGTAAGTCGTACTTTGCAGTTTTATAAAATGAGATGGTTGTTTGTTCTGGAATCTCCTGAATTTAGGTGACTTGAAGCCTGGTGCCGATGTGAAAATAACTGGACCTGTGGGGAAAGAGATGCTCATGCCGAAAGACCCGAATGCAACTGTAATAATGGTATTGTTATGCACTTTCAAGGCCTTATTTTTCCTGCAAAGACTTGTTTCTGATTCTTTAAGCTGCATAAAGATCGAGCTGATACGCCATTGCTCTAAACTGTTATGGCCATGTAGCTTGCCACTGGGACTGGAATTGCCCCTTTCCGCTCATTCTTGTGGAAAATGTTCTTTGAGAAGCATGAAGATTACAAGGTAAAGAGCGATAGCTATTTATTTATTTATTTATTTATTTTATCTCTTTGCCTCGACACGCTCCATTTTTGTTTTGATGTTGTTAGAGATGCTGTGATCTTCAGTCACATCGAGTTACAACTTTTGTTGTTCTATTTGCAATTTGAACATTAGCATTTTCGAATGCAATAATTGGGTCTGTAGACGTATGCATGTTGGCGGCATTCTGATACGAAACACCAATAATTTCTGGATCAATCATATGTAATGTCTTTGAAATTTTAAGTGAAAGTAAGTGTATTTTCCCAAGGAATTTCGTTTCCATTTCTGAAGTTTCTCGCATGCCCTTTCAGGGACTGCTTCAAACTCACAGACCGCTATTTTTAAAATGTTAATGAGGATAATTCTTCAATTTACTGCAGTTCAATGGTTTGGCATGGCTCTTCTTAGGTGTTCCTACCAGCAGCTCGTTGCTATACAAAGAGGTAACTAATGCATTTCCTATCTCTTATAATAAAAAAAACATTTTCCTGGAATCCATGGAAATATAGCTTAGAAACTGAAGTCATCAGAAAATAACTGAACCTGCGGATGATCATGAAGTATCATAGACTTGATATTTTTAAATAATGTGCAAACATGTTACTGCTGACAGGAATTCGAGAAAATGAAGGAGAAAAATCCAGAAAATTTTCGGCTAGACTTTGCCGTTAGCAGAGAACAAACGAACGAGAAAGCGGAGAAGATGTACATCCAGACCCGGATGGCCGAATATGCTGAAGAGCTATGGGACTTGCTAAAGAAAGACAATACCTTTGTCTACATGTGTGGGTTGAAGGGAATGGAGAAGGGTATCGACGACATCATGGTGTCCTTGGCTGCAAAAGATGGTAAATTTATGTTTATAATTCATTAGCCATTATCTTGATGGTAAAAAGTTGTTTCATTAGTTTAACACAAGAAACTGGGTATTTTAACATCTAAGGAGTCTTGACCTGTCTGGCCACTGTTTAACCTTATTGAGCCATTTCTAAAGTCTTAAAAAGTCCTTCGAAATCCTAATTGAATACACCCTAAAAATTTATTGCATCATTCTTTCTCATTCTTCTGCATATTGTTTCTCATTGTATATCCACAATTCATAGCCATTATTATGTCAACGTTGTGCATCATCGTTTTACACAATGTTAGCATTTGGATTTTTCTCTCTTATTCAGATCCTTTCTTGTTCCTTTTATCAGGTATCGACTGGTTAGACTACAAAAAACAGTTAAAGAAAGCAGAACAATGGAATGTGGAAGTGTACTAGTTTATGTTCTTGTACAAATATCACCCAGCATTATGATATTCTCTGTGCTGATGTAGATTGGTAAGTGGTAACTTTAAGAAAAAAAGTTTCTTCCTATTTCACCTATAGTCCCTCCGATTGATAAAAGTTTGAGGGCATATTTGAGTTAAATGTATCGAAACAAAATTATACCCTCCATATAGCTTCCTTGATTACTTTGATGCTTATTGCTTCCTTGTTCTTCTTTTGCGTCTTTTCACTATATTGTAATACCATGAGTAGTAGTATTATAATTGAAATTATTAAGACTTTGGCTACATGGGTTCCTCACAAAAGGACATGCCAAATGAAGGCCTGCCGGCAAATACCTGCATACTAATAGCACAAATAAAGATATTAAGAACAATAGTGGCATGTCATTTGTATCGAATTTGATTCGCCAGGTACAAAGATTCTGCATAAAAGAAATTTGAGCTTTGAATTCTCACGCAGCATTAAGTATGATGCAGCTGTAACAAATAACCACACTAACCGAGTTCTTATGATATTCTTCAACACAAATGCTACAATCACTTGCTAAAGCACTGGAGAGCTACCTCTGAAGATTCTATGAATTTAGGGTGATTTTCTACGAGAACTCAATTGAAGAATTTTCAGACATTTTTCATTCACACTCTAAATTAAAAATACCAGCTCGATGAACAGTACAAATATAACGAAGAAGATGAGCATGCTTCGTGAGCTGATGGCCAATCCTAAGCTTCCATGTAGCAACCACTACTAAAAGAAAAATAAAATGGAAATTACAAAGACGCACCAACGACTCAATTAGTGAAATAGACGCCTTTGCTAAAGACTAATAATAAAAAAGAAAACACGCGAAATGAAAGAAACGGGCATGCGACTTGTCTTCAGAAAGCCTTCTCAAGTGGGAATGTGAGAAGTACGCATCCCCAACTTGACAAGAAACCACTGAATATCAGTGCCAGCCAACTGAGCAGTAGTGGAGATATGCTTGGGCAAAATGAAACCATCTCTGTATTTATTGCGGACTGCATGACAATCTATGTCCAAATACAGGGGCGAAATCAGAAAATTAATTAAGAGGGGGTAAAAGATATGACATAATTTGTAAAAGATAACAAAAATGCATAAAACAAGCTACCTTATGATTACAATTGTTGGCCTTGTGAGTTGAGCTGTAAACAAACCGAACATTCGCAAACAAAGGCTCGTTCTTTTGTTAATCGAGCCGAGTTCGAACAGAAAATTATGCTCGTTTAATAATCGAACGAACACAAGCTCGTTCGTGAACGTTCGATTATGTTCGCGAACATTAATTTAATATAAGTTTATTTTGTTTTTTATATATTTACATAATATTTTTAATAAAAAATCTAAAATTTAATATAATTTTATTTATTTTTTATATATCTACGTAATATTTTTAATAAAAAATCTAAAATATATTAATATTTTTATTTTATTCTTTTATTTCGAGTTCGAACGAACAAATTTCGAGTTAATCAAACATATTTAAAAGTTTATGTATTATATTATTCGAACACGAACGAACTCGAACCTTGACGAACAATTAAACGAACGGACTCGAACACGATTTTTTGCTCAAAAAATAAACGAACGAACACGAACACTGTTCGAACGTAAACGAGCACGAGCTCGAACAACCCAGGCTTAGTTCGGTTCAGTTCGTTTGCAGCACTACTAGTGAGTGACGTTTAAAAACAAAAAATCTGAGGGTGCAAAAAATAATTTTAGAGGGGGTCAAATTAAAATTTTTAATTATAATAGTAAAAAAAATAAAATTTGAGTGGGGGCAATTGCCCCCCTATTCATAAACGTAAATTCTCCACTGTCCAAATACTTGATCCTCTTGTAAAAAACAGTATTTGCCTTGATGTGAATAGCAGCCTTGTTATCACACCATAGAGGAACTAGCCGAGAAAGTTGAATACCCCAATCTTGACATATTTTTCGCGTAGTTTATCGCATAAATATTATTTATCGATTATCTTGACTTGTTTATCGCGTAGTTTATCACATAAATGTTTCAACTTTTTCAATTTTCTTCGCCTCTCTTTCGCATAGTTATCGCCTAAATATTTTGCATTTAATCAATTATATTCGCATGTCTATCCCGTAGTTTATTGCATAATATGATATCGCACTAACTCGATTATCTTGACATGTCTGTCGTGTAATGTATCGCATAACGAGATTGCACTCGATTATCCTTTTTTGTCTGTCGCATAAGTAATTCGCACTTGCTCAATTAATTTCTCCTGTCTGATGCATACTTTATCGTATAATTTGTTTCGCACTCCTCAATGTACTTTGCATGTTTGTCGCATAGTTGATCACATAAGTAATTCGCATTTGCTCAATGAACTTCGCATGTTTGTTGAATACTTTATCACATAATTTGTTTCTCACTTTCTCAATGATCTTCTCTTGTCAGTCACATAGTTGATTACATAAGTAATTCGCACTTGCTCAATTACATTCGCATGTCTGTCGCATAGCTTTTTGCATCAATTATCTTCTCATGTTTGTCGCATAGTTGATCGCATAATTGTGTGTCACTTTATAAATTATGTTCGCATATTTATCACATAGTTTATCGCATAACTATTTTGATCTTTATCAATTATGTTCGTTTGTCTATTGCATAATGTATTGCATAATTGTTTTACACTTTATCAGTTATGTTCGCCTGTTTTTCGGATAGTTTATCGCATAGTTGTTTCGCACTTATATAATTATTTTCTCATGTCTGTCGCAGAGTACATTGCATATATAATTATTTTGCACTTTATCAATTATGTTCGTCTATTTGTCGCGTAGTTTATCGCATAACTATTTGTACTTATTCAACTAACTTCTCCTGTCTATCGCGTAGTATATCGCATATTTGTATTGCACTTTATCAATTATGTTTGCATGTTTGTCCTATAGGTTATAGCGTAACTATTTCGCACTTTATCTATTATCTTTGCCTGTCTGTCTCATAACTTTTTACATCAATTATCTTCGCCTATTTGTGGAATAATTACCGGATATTTGTTCGCACTTTATCAATATCATCGCGTGTCAGTCGTATAGTTTATCGCATAACTATTTTGCACTTTATCGATCATCTTGGCTTGTCGGTTTTATAGCTAATCACATATTTGGTTCGCACGTTAACAATTATGTTTGCTTTTTTTTTTTTTTGGCATAGCTTATCGCATAATTATTTTGCACTTTATCAATAAATTTTTGCATAGCCTTTTGCAATTCAGTCGCATATGAATGTTCGCTTATATTTCGCATAGAATATCGCATGATTATTTCGCACTTTATCAATTACCTCCGGCTATCTGTCGCATAGCTTTTTGCATCAATTATCTTCGTTTGATTGTCGCACAGTTAATCGCATAAATATTTCGCACTTTATCAATCATCTTTGCTTTTCTGTCACATAATATTTTCGCACTTTATCAATTATCTTGGTCTATCTGTCACATAGCTTTTTACATCAATTATCTTTGTATGTATGTCGCATAGCTTATCGCATAATGGTTTCGCACTTCATCAATTATGTTCGCATGTTTGTCGAATAGTTTATCGCATAACTATTTCCCACTCTATCAATTATCTTGAGTATGACGCATAACTTTTAGCATCAATTATCTTCGCATGTCTGTCGTATATTATATCACATAATTGTTTCACACTTTATTAATTATGTTCGCCTATGGTACGTCAAAACCTCCTAACCGACAGAATCGACTCGCTCGAACTCCTCCTCGCCGATAGAACGCTGAGTACCTACTTTTACACCGGAGGGGGTTCTCCGATGAAGAGCCTTCGATGCTTAAGTGAATATCACTCCCAACTCAATTCTCAAGAGTATAAATGACAATCATGCTGAAATCGTAAAGTTCACCCCTATATATAGGGGTGAGGTACCTGCTGCCTGGAGGAGCTGAGGTGGCTGCCCAATGCTGCCCGACGGGCCCGATCGTACAACACACACTAAAGGTATGCTAGAGACGGTTCTGCGATAGGAATCAATCAGGTCATGGCATGCACGTGTCCTCCGCATGTGGGGTTTTGATTCCCCTGAAATCTCCTCGAAGGCTCTAATGCTCGACCAGATCTAGGTCGATCCACTAACTCCTCCGAGTCTGGGAAATGGTTGATCAGACGACCATTTGTGCCACATGTCGATCTTTGACCAGCTCTCTAAGTATCGAAATCCCCTTTAAGCTATCTTTCCTCTCCAGAGGCTCTTATTCTTGTGATGTTCGACCATGACTACCCTACTCGTGTTCTGTTCGACCGGCTCATTCGGCTAATTCGACTCACTAGACCAGTTTACTCTTTGAGGTATAGTATCCCATATCATCTAGGGCCCCCCACTCTGGTCGAGTATGAATGACTTGATCCAAGAGTAGATTTTCGTCCCTCCACCAATTATCCTCACGTTCGCTGTTTATCGACCACTTGATGGATGTTTCTCTATTTTTCGACCACTTCTTAGTTCAACCGCCATTTTGAAATTCAAACTCCATACACGCCACTTGTCACATCTGTCAGGCTTATTCGACCACTTCTTAATTCAGCCGTCATTTTGAAATTCAAACTCCACACACGCCATTTGTCACATCAATCAGGCTATCATCAATGCCCCGTGAACCGCGCTTCCTCGTGCTCTGTACCCACTAAATGGGTCCCGCCGTTAGAGCCCTTGGATATGCATTTAATCCAACGGTTAGCTTTTCCAACCTCTCAACTACCTCCAACAATCTCCACCGTAGATTTGATACTTATCCGACGGTCACCGATCGACTAACTTCCTTTCCATCCTGTGCGTCCTCTATAAATACCCTTAACCTCAGTCTTAGCCAATTTTGCACCTTCACGAATTCTCGATACATTTGCACCCTAAATCTCCGAGTTCTGTGCACTTTATCTCCGGCCATCCTCGCGAACTGTAATTTGGGCTTCTCCAGTTCATCCTCAACATCTAACAATGAGTAAGTTCTCTTGACTTTTCAATTTGTGTGTTTTATTTGAATTTTCTAGTTTTCTGTTTTCCAATTCTCATTCGAATCTCCGTCTGACTTGTTGGCTAACAATCTTTCTACTTTTTCTCCTTCTCCCTTGCTCAAAAACCCTAAAAATCTTTTTGTTTTGATGTCTTTCTCCGTTATTTTTTAGATTCCAACACTTCAAGTGAAAACGACCACTTTCTGGCAAAGACCTGACTCCTTCATCCTCTTCGGCAACTCCACTTCTATCTCCTGGCACTTCCGTTGAAAAAGTCTTGGAACCTACATCAATCTTCATCATTCGACCAGCTATCCCCGACCA